TCAATGAAATTAATGTTTCCAAAAATGTGAGTTAAAAACGTTCGGCGATTTCTTAGGTTAGGATTCGGAGGTGGAGGTGGAGGATGATAATACTACTACTAATAATAATAATAGAGCTAAGATTCGGGTTTTCGAAATACAAATCTTTTTGAAGTACCTCTAGTTAAAATATGAATGCCTTATGCTTAGAAAAAATGAAATGCACTAATAATCCAATTCTCATCTAAAGATTTAAATCATTTATTTAGGGCTGGATTTAATAAGAGTGTGTTAGTCCTCAAATTAATTGTGTGAGAAAAACTAAATTATTATTTTTATGTAGAATTCCGAAAAAGCTAATAGCTTATTGAAAACGGCCTTCTTTTGTTGATAAGCGTTAGTATGTGCCAAGTTGCCTTAGAAAGCTCTTTAGGTAGGCATCTCCTTCAGCAGAAAATTTTCGTGCGTAATTTCTCCGCTGCACGCGCAGTCCCTTTTATCCTTTTCCATTCTTTCCAAAGAAGTACGTATGAGCTAAATGTGAAGAAAAATCACTGGATCTGTTTTACAAATCAAAGCTTAATTCTTCACTTATATGTAAAGCTTTCTAGGTTGCTGTACTCTCAAAGACCACTTTCTGCTAAAACCATTCAAAAATTATAAACAGACGGAGAAAGAAAGGAAACCAAAAGAAAATGCTTGGCTTTGTGTCTGAAAAAGAATGCTCATTTCCATCTTAATAGTTTCAGATTTACATATCATAGAACCATTTTCCTCCCTATATAGCAAAAGAAATAATATTAAAAAAAAAAAAAAAGAAAACTGTGTTTCAGATTTTAACCGTCGCCCAAAAGGGTTTGTTAAGATTTTTCACGTTCTTGCTAAGCTCGCAGTCTACCAATCTGCTGAAGGAGCATAGCAGTATACATTTAGAATTCCAGATACTAACGTTAAGGGATGAGATATATTTCTGTTTTTAGTCCAAAGGAGATAAGTCCAGAAGGGCTATTAGTCTCGAAAAGGCAATTTACGTCGAATCACTAAAAGCGTTGAATCACGCCTCTTCTTTTGAATTGCTCGTTGAAATTATTTTGGATCCCGACAAACTTTACTGCTTTGCTTCCAGGATAAATTTCCGTGAATAAAACTCTACGTCAACCTCAAAATCGTCTTTTTGTTTGAAATTATTATCAATTTAATATTATTAAATAATAATTATTCAGTGTTTATAATAATTTGAAGATGTGCATCTGGTAACTAAATACAGTTTAGCAATTCGTAAAAGTCAAGACGAGTCGATATACGAAAATAACCTGAAGGGAACATTGGGTATATGAGGATTAAAACCTTTTGACCGAATTAAAACGGCTACTTTACTTTAACTACCGGAAACTTGGATTTGATTTGGATTATTCAGTTATGGCAAAGCACACGAGGGCTACCTGCCTAAAGGGAGGGATGCCTTTCGTGGAGGACTTTCTAAGGGAAACTGGCTCGTATACACGTTACACATGGGGAAAACCACGAAAACGCCCATGCAGCCAGCCCGTTCGCGGGATTCGAACCTCAGACCGAACTACCAGCGTTCAGCGTCTTTACCGCTCGGCCGCTGGTGGGCCTACCGGAAGCTTGATTTACATTACAATTGCATAATATTTGCCTTATCTCTGCAATTTAATTAATAAAGATTTAAAATCAATAAAAAATTCTTTAGATTCTTCTTCTTCCTTCTCCCCGGTCTTATTTCCTTCCAGAAAAAAAAAAAAAAAAAAAAAAAAAACTCTCGTTTAAAACGCATAGGTTTATATTTCGTCTTAAACAAACCGAAATCATGAAATATAAACCATTTATATGAAAACATTTTCAGTTATTAAATTGTTTAATTAATTAATTTAAATAATTCATATCAGAAATACAACTACTGTGTTAAAAACAATCTTTAGAAGTGAAGCAAAACTTCTGTAAGAGGTCTCCCTCCGGGCTTCCACTTTTGTAAATCTGTCTCTGGGAATGAATGATTATGGCAAATTTTTAAACTTCATAATAAATAAATTTTTGGATACTGGCATTTTTAAATTCATGAAAAGGAACTCAATCATCAGAATAAAATTGAGAAAAAATCACCTTTTAAATGAAATGCTTAGAAAAATATACGTAGCGTAAGTCTGACTTCTTTGCAAATGTGTGAAAATAATGTCATGTTCTCGAGAGGATGTTTCTAACGGAAAAACTTGAAGCCCAAGGAAAGCCACAAATTCAGATTCTATACCATACTTTCAGAATGTCTAGAAAACGACTTAATATTTTTTACCAATATTGTTTCAGAAGAGAATGCAGAATTTGTTTTATAACCTGTGAAAATTTCAAACCTTTATAACAAACATTTTTGCATGTTGAAATAACACGTGAAATGTTCGAAACATTAGATTCTATTTTTCTTCGAAAGTAAGAGTTACACCAACCAAACCTATCACCTAATAATAGTTAAAAACTTTCTTTTGGAAAAAAGTATATCAACTGCAATGTATAAACATGAATTGCATGTAAAAACATGCACACATTCTCAAGAATGTTTCGTTGAAATAATTTAATAAGCATAATAAATAAGACCGCATTAGCTGATAAAGGGTAGTTCAAGAATTTAGATGTTGGTCATTATACGGTACATTCCCGATTTACCGGAGTAATACCGGTGACGACGACTACGGTCAAACCAAAATAACGCTTAATAAAACAGCAGTTAAAAAACAGGAAAAGGTAATAACCCGTATCGTAATTAACAAGAAAAATGATATTAACAATGCCTGCAGTACCAAGTAATTTAAAGAATAATTCCATTTGGTTAGGTAAATTAATACAATCAGCGTTCAGAACCAGAATACATTTTAAAACAAAAAGAAGTGTTTATTTTTCATAATATGTTTATATTCCGATCAAGGTCAATGGGGAAATAGCTTAATGACTATGCATCTTATTTTTACGATTTATCACCTTACTTTTAACGGATGAGTTAACAATATTTAAGTAATTTTCATTGTGTGTAATTAAACTGCATACTGTAAAGACAAAAATAATTTTTTAATACTGTGATATCATCGACTAGCATTGCTGTTTATGCAAACGCATTTTCGTCCAAATTTTGCTTTATTTTGATGGTTTGTCAGAGTAATTTTTCCATCGTTTCGAGATAAACAAGCTTCTTTAAAGTATTTTTCACTTAATCAGGAGTATACTGCATAGCTTGCCTAATTAAGCTTTACCTAATCAATATTAATTCTGGAAAATGCAGTCTGCCGTAAATATGAAATTATTTTTATATTGAAAGAAAATGATGTATATGTACTGAATTGACTATTGCTGTAACCAATACTGCCGTTACCATTTATTTGCTGCATTATGTGAAGCTGTATTTTGTACGCACTGTGCTTTCATTTATTTTTACGTCTTTTCTGTGAAATGCTAAGTTTAATTGCACAGTGAAAGAAATAATTTAAGAAGTTTTATATTTTAATAATAATATGCAAGCTATGGTTTACACGTAAGAGGAGAAAATTTTGTGTCCGAGGTATATAGGGTATTGTATACCTCGGCACATGAAACATCTTAGAATGACTTAGACCTAGACCTAGGTTAGAATATGATCCAGATTACAATTATTCAATTAAAAATCTTGTTGAAAATAAAACGTAACAAAACTGTTTATAATGCATATTGACAGTGAAGGTCTAATTTTATTACACCGATAAGTAATGCATTGTTAAATGAAAGATAAAATTAAAAGATTTTATGTTGCATGGGCCAACTCTGCCAAAAATCACAATGTGTCATAAGTTTCGTAAAAACTGCATTGCCTCAAAGACATTTCTTAACGTCATTAATCGTGTGTGTGATTATGGCAAAGCCTCGAGGGCTATGTTCCTAAGGGAAGGGATCTGGCTCGTATACACGTTACACATGGGGAAAACCAGAAAACGGCCATGCAGCAGGCCCGTTCGCGGGATTCGAACCTCGGACCGAACTACCAGTGTTCAGCGACTTTACCGCTCGGCCGCTGGTGGGCCTCATCATTAAATCGGTAGTATCATAATTTGTTTTGCTCAGAAATGTTAATTGATTTAAGTCAAACAGTAGTAAATTCGACAATACTGAACTGTGTTTATTGCAGAAGTTCCGAAAAGGTAAAATTTTTTATCAGTATTAGAATATGTATTATCGATTAGCTTTCTTTATATATATGTACACTAAGGATAAATGGATAACTTCCAATCGACCAAAAATAAATAATTAAAAAACCATTTTTTTTAATTGAAAATTATTAAAAGCTATGCGTAACGACTTAAATGAAAAGTCTATAATATATGTTGCTTAATTGTGAAGATGATTTCAAAAATAAGTTTTGAAGTTAAATTTAAGATAGAAGAAATATGTGGAAGAATCAGCCATTAATATTTCAGTGCAGTCTCTATACATCATTGTATGTGCAACTTTTACTCAGTCTTCATATCTGCAAAGCTCTTCTAATTTAATACCTTTACTAATTTTTCCGATTTGATTCTTAACTAATTTAAAGAAAAAGTTTCAAACCATCAGAATTACATTTCTATCTTAAAAATCATTGCACTCTGTTATTTAATTAAAAAAATTTTTGTGCATAAAAGTAAGATGAGGAGTAAATATTTTCACATTTTATGATAAATATAAAGATGAGAAATGTAAAAGTAGTGAATAGCTTCCCTAAGATTTTACAAAACCGAACAAATTTTTCTCTCTCTAAGTTTTTAAGAACAAGCTTTGGAAACTAAAACTGAAAAAAATTATCGGACTATTAAGAATATTAAGTGCACTTGATAAAGTTTATCTATTTGAATTGAAAAGTTTTAAAAAACGGCTAATAATTATTTGGCATATTTGTTAAAAATCACTAATATTTAACTGCATCAAAATTTAACGTGACAATATGCAAAAATCAATACGGTTTGGAAAAGTTTATGTGCATTAAATTATTCACTCATAACACGAAATCAAAAAACGGACACTTTTATTACTCATATTTCACAAGCACAAACATAGCCATTGACGTTCAATGAAAATACGCTTACAATACCCAGAACTTTCATAGGATTGGGTTAACTTTTTTTTTCTCTCAACTGTACAGCACAAAAATATTCGAAATCATGTTCCAAAACATTCATGTAAATGTATATATAATGTATATAAGTGTATATAGAGTTATCAAAGGCTATGTAAAAAAAAAAAAAAATCCATCACAGCAACATTGACAAAACGTATTTACATGGCAAAACTGTTAACTATATACAAATGGCGGAAGAAAGAACTAAAATAGCCAATACTTTTTTTTTTTTGTAACTATTTATAAAATCTGCAAGATCTTAACTTAATAAATGGTTATATTAGATTTTGAAACAAGAATATCTTTCATAAGACAACATTTGTAAAAAATTGATATCTTTTTTATTTCTTTGCATGTGTATGTGACGAAACAGAAGTATTTCCATACTTTACTTTTAGTTGCCTTATTACAAAATAAAAACGGTATTTCGAATTTTATTGGAAATTTTGAAAGAACAGAAATTTAAAATATGGCCAAAATAATTTCTTTAACTCATCTAAAAGTTCGATTTTTCCTAAATATATATTTAAAGCCGTAAAAAGTGAACTTTATTATAAAATTAAATTTTGTACACTATAAAACACTATTAAATTTTAGACCCCCCCCCAGAAATAAAAACTGCTTAAAGAGTTATAAACTAAAATTTCTTTACACTTGAAAAAAAAAGTCTAAGTTAAAAAGCAGAGGGAAAAGAAGTATGTACAATCATTGCGACTCATCTAAGAGAATTAAAAATTTAATATCTGGACGAAATTTCATGCAAAGTAAAAATGTTATTTCTAAAACAACTGCCCAATAGATGTTAGCTATACACGGCACATTAACCGCGAATCTATAATACAATTCGAATTTTGGTAACTACATAAAATGAATATAAAATTTAATTTATACAATGCGTTGCTCTAAATTACAAAAATTCTTTTCTAGTACTTTCCACCGCATTTCATTTAATGCTAATACAAAAATTGGCCCTGTACAGTACTTGTTGCAAGCAGAAATAAACATCTTATACACATCTAACACTGTTAAAACTTTCGTTTCCAGTTACATAAAAATTTCCCCCTTTTTTATATTTTATTAAGAGTAGAAAATATTCTTTTCAAGCGCATGTCTTACACCTTTGAAGCAGATTTTTATCAAGCAATAAAATGTCAGGTAATGACATATAAATATATATCTGTACACATTGTATCTCCTTGCCAATTTTTTAACAGTATGTTACATTTAAAATACGTTTTGAAACAGATTATTCATTAGATAGCTTAATGTTTCACTGAACGAGGAGTCTGTACATTTTAAATTAATAATTTGTTCAAAAGAACCTTTGACTATACAAGTAAATAATATCACAAAACTGAGATCAAGTTTCATACATAGAACTACTTGAGATTACTGTAGCAGAAATCTGAGCTTTTACGTAGTTCTATGCAAAAACATAAAAGTTGCAAGCGTACTCTAAAACTAACCAGTTACAGAGTTTTAATACGAGACAAAAGCTTTAATGTGACCTACTGCAGTGTTAGCCGCCGTCTCGCTGGGAATATACTCCTGCTTGCTGAATCCGTAGAATGAAAGAAAAAAAAAAAAAAAAAAAAAAGAAAAAAAAAAAAAAAAATTGTGACTTTATAATTAGGATAGCTATGATGTTTGAGATTTAAGAGTTAAGTATAGGGCAGACTCACCAGTTGTTCAGCTCTGAATTTGAATCATGTTTTGTCACTATCTGATATTCAGTTACAAGGCAAGAAGCCCCAATAGTTATAACGATGAGCCCTGGTTTCAATTGCTGCTGTAACTTCAGTCGTAAATCAATAGGAGTGGCTTAATATATGCTACTTTTGCAACTATTAGTTAATTGTAAGAGCGACAACTCGCGTTTGTCACTTTAATTTCATATTATAGAGTTGTATAATCGACACATTTTATTCGAAACTTATAGTTAATATTTTTTAAATCTGATTTCCAATTTATTACCTTCAGTTTCTAAATATAAGGTATGGATTACTTGCATCTTGAAAATTTCGATTGATTAATGCGTTTTATTAACCGATATCGCTATTGTGATAATTTTAAAAATGTATCATTTTAATGAAAGCGGAAATTACGTAAGGAATTTAAAACCATCACTGCTGGTTCGGTTGAATACAAGAGCACGCTTGCAGTTATTAAAAAAGAATATAAATTGCTTGCCACGGACATCAGAAATAAAAAAGCATATAGACCTGCAAAACGATTTTAAGGGGAAGAAAACCAATCCACTTAAATTCTGGACTAACCAACAAAAATAAGCACAACAGTTAACAGTTTCTATTACAAATAACAAATCACAAAGAAAATTAACATCTTGCAAACAAACATTCAAAACATAAATTTAATTTCTAGATTAATATTAAAATGAAATAAGAATTGCAAAACAAGGAAAGAGACTCCAGTAAATACAAATCAAAACAAGGAACATTATCTATGGCAACAAAAACACGAATGGCAATATGCAGGCAAAAAAAGCAGCACATATCAAATGAGAATTAACTCTAGGCCTGTGTTTTCTACAAGCATGCCATATGCGTAATAAGTATTATAGTTTAAGTTTTCTCTTCCTTAAAAATAAAATTAGTTCGTGAATTAATTGGTTAAATTACGTTTATGCATTCTAGTGAGTATGATTGTGCGTTGGATTGCATGGAGTACTGTAAAGCTTCTCTGTACAGAAACGCATTTTGATTTATCGCCAGTCACTAATCAGTAACGAAATCTAAGCTGAAGTATTGTTAGGTTCCCATTTTTGATTACTGACCACTTAAAATATATATATTAAAAAAATATTTGCTATTTTTTAAAACAATGAATTAAGAGTATTTTAAAATCTTCAGGAACTTTTACTACAAGAGTGCTACATTAAAAACAGTTTCATTAGTAAAATTATGTGCATGGGAATAATGAATTTTCTATTAAAAATACGAACATGCGGTACTTGTGTATTAATCGCTCTCCGCCGATAGTTCACTAAAAATACCATCCGACTTTTCCTATGAACGCTTAGCAACCCTAGAAAAGCTGTTCCATTTTTTTTAAATTTTTCTTGCTAATGTTTTTTTTCCGGGGGGGGGGTTATAAAAGGTTAGATGTAGATTTTTAACGTTATTTCGGCATTAATTCCAGACCAATTAAAGCAAAAGCATACACATTGCCTTAAAAAAAATATGCAATTTTCTTTTCTTGGAAAATTCTTGCGCCTACGCTTGTTAATTTTTGCTGCATTTTTGTGTTTAATAGATTTTCATGCTATGAAAAACTGTACATGGTAGGACATATACAGCGGAAATTATTATATAAGAAAATAACGATGAAAAACATTACAACTAAGAAATAAGTCGAAGTTCTAATTAATATCCTTAATTTTAAAGCAGCATTCATAGAGAGAGGCTGAGACAAGTTGCGGAAAACAATAATTTGAAGTAATTTTGATGCAAGCACCAAACAATAACTGCTTCAAATTTAAAAACACCTTTTACATATTTACCGACGTCAAAAATATATTTCATGGTTCAATGGCACCGATAGGTTGTTCATGGTGTATCGGTGGATGCCGAATAATACTCAAGTACGAATTCTCTTTCTTAAATTAATTTAGAAAGTTATTTCATGAGTTTGTTTCCAGAAACTTTACTGAAAACACAGTGCATTAAATTTAAAAATTTTAAACACTCATTAAAAATTGTTAGAAAATTTTTTAACTATATTAGGTAGTAAGTAAATTTAAAACAATGTTAGAATTGTTTACGAATATGTTATAAGAAAATTACAAGAAACACTGATAAATATGAAAAATATGTATCAAAAAGGGAGGTTAGCATAACTCTTATTAACGAAATTTTAGAAGCTAATTTTGAGATGCATTTTGATAGCAGAATTTATTACTGCAACAAAAATGAAGTAGAAAACTTAAGCCACAAAATCAGTAAAAACACTCAATATAAAAAGTTAATACATACAGTTTATATTTATTACAATAAAAGTAAAAAAATGCAATAATTCAAATAAATAATCAAATGCTTGCGTACAATATATTCAAACACTGAAAAATTATATTAGAAATTCCATTAGTTTTTGATTAACATTAAAAACACAATATGAGCATTTACAAAGAAATTCAACACACATACATGGATGACATAAATTTCCGTAATAAGAACAATAAGAAAATATTCTACTGTTCATGTTCCCCTTTCTTTTAGTTAAAACATTAGGGAAACAGGGATTCTCACGTATGTAAGTATAAAATATCATATAAGTACATTAAAGCATAAGAAACACAAAACACACTAATTACAACAAACTATATCTTGCGTACATTGCTACGTTTTCATAACCGAAATACATCAATAAGATAATTTATATTTTAGCTTCACTCATGGAAAAATAATTACAAAAGCTCATTTAATTAATAGTTCATTCATAGTCTTCAGTTTTCTATTACTATTAAATAAAGGTAATTCTTAGTTTACTTTTAATGACGTATATAATATCGCCTACGGGGGGGGAGAGATTTAAAATGTGGTAAACCAGGTAATTACAGCAGACTTAATATGCTTAAAATTACGACCTTATTTTTGAATAATGATAGAATTAACATATCTGAATAAATATAATATATAAATACACAATTCATTTAAAAGGGAAATTTACATTCTGATATCATAGTTAATCATTTTATCTAAATTAAGATTATAATTAATTTTAACATTTATGTCAGAAGAAACACTATAAATATATAAAAGTTTAATATAAATGCTTGGATTAAGGAAACTATCCAAGTTTTATTAACTATACATTCAAATACATAAAATGTAATAGAAATTGATAAGTTTTTATGACAACGCACGTAAAATTCTGAGAATATATTTAGATGCAGTATTTAGTGAAAATCCCTGTTTTTAGAAGTGTCAAAATTGAGCAACGATGTATTTCAAAAGGACAAATTTTTCTTTGGCTAGCTTGTAAGAACTTTGGTCACTTTATTTTGACAAAATAACAAACATTTTAAGCGCAACTGAATAATGGAAGCATGTAAAAAAATATTTCACAACTTAAAGTAAATAATGCAATGAAATAATAAAAATATACAACTGAACACAAAATGGAAACTCACGTACATAACAAAAAAATGAAGATGTGATAAAATATAATAATTATACTGTTCTGAGCAAAATGGTGAAGGTGTATGGATACAATGTGAATTTTAAGTAGTATAACACTTGCAATCCCTTTAACACAAACCCTTACAAAAGCAATTTTTGACAATACTTTTTTTAAATATCGGATATATAAAGCTTAAATCAATTTTATATTAGCACACACTATGAAAATCTCAGTGCAGTAAACACAGTAACCAAATATATAATTACAATCGAAAGGAAATAATAAACTCAATTTTTGTAGTATATAAATGTTGGGTTGCTCAGCAGTAGTATATACTGTACAACAGCGCCACAAGCCGGCTCCCAAACAAAAATCCTTGAAACGTTTGAATAATAGATGTTAACCGATCATTTAACATTTGTATTATATTGTCCTAAAGTGTGTGTATGAACAGGAACGCAGAAAAATAATACTTGATGAAGAGTAATTGTATAATTACAGCAGATTTCTCTCCATAAGATGATTGTCCATTGAGATTTGAGTTAAAATATTATATCAGCTATTGTCCGTCTTCTTTGTGAAATCTGAAAGAAAAAAATATGGCATTTATATAAGCTCACCAAAAGTAATTTTATCTATTAACAGAATATAGCTTTGATAAATAAATTATATTGGAACTACTTTATGAAGTGAATCATTCTTAAACCATACCTCATCATAGATGTAAAGAAAATATGCCAAGTTTAATTTAAAATTAGGCAAAATTTCAACTTTAGGTTTTCCAAAGTCAGGAAAAGAAAATTTAGACAGTTTCATTGATGACGATTATTAATTCTTCAACTTTGGTTTTGCTCAAGGTAATTAAAAAATCCTCTTCGGTTGAGGAACAAATTTCGTTTTCGATCCCTGTGCATGCATCAAGATCTTAAATGATTTTAATTCCAATACTATGCTTTTCATAATGAATACATTGCATAATAACCTAAAATAAATGTTACTATAGGTTCAATTTACGCTTAATTGTAAACATACTTTCTGCTGGGTTAAGGCAAAGATAAGTTTTCCTTCCAGAAAATTCGCATTTTTATTATTGCATCGTTTAGGCAAAAATTAAGAAGTTGAAGCAACATTTCAGTATTTCCCCCTTAATCTTTCAACAGAAAATACATGTTCGGCAACATTTCAGTACCAAGTTTGTTTCATACATCGTTGAGTAAATCTCACACTGGGAATTAAAGTTTAAATATGAGAAGATGGAATGGTTGGAAAGCTCCATATGACAAAGATTAGCACTGTAAATCCGGTGATCAAACACATTCGTTAAATAAGTAAAAATCTACTAAATCTATTTACAATTTGAACACTCTCACACACAGCGATTCGAAATTCTACCTATAGGTATGTAAGGAAAGGAAAGAAATTCCAACTTTAATTTATAATTCCCAGTCTCCTTTTCAATTTGGTAATTCCCCTTTTCTTACTTAAAAATAGTAATGTTCTCATGCATAAATGTTTTAGATGCTTTTATTTGAAAAATAATCCGTCATATGATTTTTGTATAATGCTAATGACATCATTATACATTCCTAACAACAAATGATAACGACGAAACTGATATCTTTACTCAACGTATGCAAACCAAAACCGTAGAAGTAACGCAGAACTAATATTTTTCTATTTTCAATCTAGCACCATCATCGTAATCTCATCTTCTCTGTGCATCTACCGTATTTCTTTTATCGCCATTTATAATCCCGCGAATACGTGAAAAACAAGCTGAGACTTTAAAAATACAAGGGGCGCGTCTTGCAGCTTCCTGAATGTTATACAAAGAACAAATAAGTGTTCAAGCAAGCCATAACTTCTTTCGTTTGTAACCATTCAACTATCATCACACCTACGACTAATTCAGAATTTTCAACACATACACACACAAGATGGTATCAAGACCCCATTAAATAACAGAAAAACTATTGAATCCTACACATTTCGTTAGATAGTTAGGCGCTTGTCTATCTTTATTGGAAAGGATAAATACCATGTAATCAAAAATGTCTGAAGAACCACCACTTGCTACCAGTTGATATTTAAACCAACACCTGCTTTGCTAAAAGATCTGAATGGATATGATAGTTAACGCTGTCAAAAACACATCTTTCAAATTATCCTATTTATCACCAAACTACAGAGCAACAGCATCATAAACGGCGCAGATGAAGTGGTAGTCGATGCACGTCAACAGCAAGACACAGCATGATGAACGAGAAGATGAAACACGACACTCGTTCTGGAGATAAGGGGACAATTTTAGGCAGCAAAGACTGCACGGGATGCTCATACTGGCCTGACCTCTAAACGTAAACTTCATTTTTCCAGAGGAAGGTCGAGGCAATAAGTTTATTTTGCCTGGCTTCAAGCGGACAGCTCTGAGTAATATTCTTTCTTTTCTTCCTTATGAATGTCACACTCAAGAGGCTTGTTTTGATGCTTTAAATGATTATTGCACTATCTAATCTTTGGGAGATGAGTGTTTATTACAGCACAGAACACACTGGGGAAGACAAGATAAAGAAGACATTATAAGAAGATTAAAAACCATAAAAATATTAAAAAGTTAAATTATTTTCTTTCTGATAAGTGAGCTGACATTAAGGAATTAAGGGTTTCACAGCATAAACAAAGTTGCCAGATTTTAAAAGACTTCAAGGAAAATATATTACTAAAATACTAGAAGTAAGCCAAAGAAATTTTAATAAATTTTTCATAGAGGCGCTAAGCGACAATGTTGCAAACTAAGTAGCCCATTGTAAGTTAAAATATTTGAAACATAATATACATTTAATTACCCAATATTATAGCCTAATATCTTTTAAACATAAACGTAAATCTAAGTAGCCTGCAGACGACAGAAAGTAGTTAGCCCAACCCTACATAATAAATCAAAATAATTTACTAAATTTTCCACACTAAATATTTTCAAGAATCAGTCTAACTATATATTTGCCACTAATGACATTTTTAACAAATAATGTGTGGTATATTAAAAGCTGTCTTCGATTAACAGTGAGCCAAGTCGACTTAACGGTTTGCCAGTCTTTCCATTGAAAATGCGGCAACTAAAATCATCAGTTTTGATGACGTTTTGAAACAATTTGCAGAAATGATAGCTCGAGAAAAACAATTTTAGCTTTTCTTTTATTGATAGAAAAGTTGAAAACACTGCATTTTCTAACATGAGAAATAGCAGATTATTATGTTTTTGAAATATATGTTTGTCATTAGTCTCAAGATTTGTTTCCCAATTCATTTTAACTATTTAATTTTAATTAAATAAACGTTGACTACATATTTGTGTTGAAATTTGTACGGTGATCATTCCAGTAACAATGAAGGGCAATTTCCGCCCCTGGATGAAAAAAAAAAAAATGCCTTTTAATTTTCACATCGGTTGACAAATGTATCATGGTGAAATTTATAAAACTGCTGATAAAAAAAATAAAGTGAACAAATTTCAGTTTAAATTTGTGATAACCGAATTCAAAGATATTAAAATATTTATAGTTTAAAAACAGAAATGCAGACTGTTCTGTAACAAATTCCCATATAACAATTTTAAGCATGTAAATTATGAGTAATTTCATTTCAGTCACTTATACTCCAAACAGTGCACAGTATGGATCAATTACGAATATAACAAGCGGCATAAATCAATAACGGCCAACATAATTCTCACACTTTTGAAAAGTGCAATCAATAGTTTCAATGTGCACTTCAAGTTTATTGCCTCAAATTGCTATGGTCCGTATAAAGAGAAATATTCGTACCACAATGAATACGTTTACTGAAAAAACTTTATTCATCCAACGGTGAAAGAAAAAAATCGATTTGGACCAGTGTACTGAGAACGGGAACCATTCAGCGGGAGTGGAGTGGAGGTTTATGAAAGAATTGTTGACAAATGCGCAGTAAGGGTAATACTATGTTGGGGAGAACTGAATAGAAAAAACACAGGAAAGCAACGTGATTTACTTAAAAGAACAAAAGGCCAAAAGGTATACTTAAAAGTTATTTATTTATTTAACCCTCTGATCACGGATACAAAATTTATAAAAGTATAAAAAGAGTTCATAAATTTTCTTCCTGCGAAAATGATGGCACTTGAAATCCCAATTTCTGACGACGCGATAAGAACGTTCGCCACGTATACTCAGGATAAAATGCGAAAGGAAAGTTATTCACGGATCCCGCGGCTGGAGGCTTCTCACGTGGCAAAATCATGCTTTTGTAACATATAAAACTAGCATCAATATAAAAAGATGAATACAAAATATCCTTTTTCTTTGGTAAAAGAGGAGTTCTTTTCCCTATAAAGCAATGCATTTATTCAATAATTTTAATTTTAAGTGCAATCAATAGTTAAACGCTGACTTAAGCCAGCGTTTAACTAACGCTGATATATTTTTATATATTTTTCCTGAAGTGTCTTAGCCATCAAAAGTATTTTAATATATAATAACAGACACTATAATACAATTACTACAACGACTAAAGATAGGTGGATGAAAGGAAAAAAAAAAAAAAAAAAACTGAAACTAACGCCCTCTATCATATGGCAGAAGAATTCTAACCGACAGTGGCAGGTGTTGTCGAATCCTCCGACCTACGCTTCAAAACATCAAATAGGTATAGAGACGTAAGGGGGGGGGATTCAGACATCCAGGACAAGGGATCGCGTTCGCTTCCAGGTGGGGGAGGACGACTAAACAAAAAATCATAAAACCGTGGGAATTTTTTCGCCTCGCACTCCCTCACCTGTTCGCCAACCTTGAAGGAACGGGGAACTCGAACGCGGAACAGTCATCTTTACCCAAAGTTGAGTCAGCAAGTAACACCGCTTGCTTTCGTAACCGCCGCGAACCCCTTATACGGTTTTATAGAAAAGAGGGCCAGGTGTTTTTGTTTTGGCGCTCGAACGTCTTTCGGCTGAGGAAGAACTCGCGCGAGTTTCCACTCTCGCTCACAGTGAAAGGACCAACGGTTCGATGATTCACTGTTACCTTTGCTGAAACCTAATGACAGGTTAGCAGTGGAAACAGAGGAATTCGTGGATGAGGTCATGCAGACACGCATAGTCTGACTTCACAGAATTAGGTGGTTTTAAAGATGACATAGAAGCTATGATGGTTGTGCACTCTTTTGAACGACAGATAGTTAAAGTACGTACAGATGTTAGCGTTACTGTTATAGTGTTTATTACACTTTCTAAAATGAGTGAGTCATTAAATAAAAACTCTTAAAGCCAACCCAGTTCCATCAACGGTATTAACAATGGCCTCTTTTGTAATTTCCCCAGTCAGTGTTGCAACGTCTAATTCTAAATCATTTTCATGAATATATTGAATATAAAGGCATATTTTATATAAAGACTTAGAAAAGAAACTGGAAACCAGGAAAATTACAATCCAAAATTATAAAATATTTCAGAGGTATGCAAAGTTACAAGAGATATGCAAGGTCAGAGGTCTCTGTTGTGCAAGGAATAAATATATTATTACTTGCATAACAGAGAAAGAACTCTCTCGAA